TCTCTAAACATTACATAGGATGAACTACATAATAGAGAATTAATGCAATAAATCATGATATAGAAAAGTGGTGGTCAACAGTAACCCTTTGTCTTTATAAACCTCATTTACACAAACTGAGACACCCCACTATCCATTTGCCAAGTGAGTCTCCATTTTTGTGGCTAGGCTATTACTGAGCAGGCTAGTGTTGAGTCAAGGTTTTCTGGCACCCTATGCCAGCATATCTCCCTCATGGGCAATCTAGAATACACAGGAAACTTTGGAAGTTTGCAGTTTGCTGAGTTTCAGTGGCTCAGCAGGTCAGCTATAAGCAGGGCTTTTTTTTTTTTTTTTTTGTCATAGAACGCACCAGAGCAGGGTTCCGGCACCTTTTTTTGATGGATTTTCCAGAGTTGCCTTGAACAAAATCCTAGTCTTTTAGATACACTAAAAATTGAAGGGTTTTTTTTTTCAGCTACAAAGATAAACCTTGTAGGGTAGGCAAGGCGGGTTGTATGATGTGTGTGAGTTCCGGCAATTTTTTTTTTTAATTTTATTTTTTTACAAAAAAAGCACTGGCTATAAGACTAAGTTCTATGCATATTGTGTTGTGGCTGGCAAAAGCTGGAGGCCTCTCTTTGTATAGCTATTTCTTTCTTTCTGGTGTGTGTGTGTGTGTATGTGTGTGTGTGTGTGTGTGTGTGTGTGTGTGTGTATGTATGTTCAGATATGAGAATCCTGATTTCATGTAGCATGTGTTCCAGAAAGTCAATATAGAACAGAACAGAATAGAATTCTTTATTGGCCAAGTGTGATTGGAATTTGTCTCTGGTGCATAAACTCTCAGGGTACATTCAAACAACAAAATAGTATAATCATAAGATACTAATAGGAGAGGGTAGTAGAAAGATGAGAAGATTAATAGTAATACAGCCATATTACATGGGTAAATATCCTTAGATGTAAGACAGTACTGTGTAATTAGCTGTTCAGCAGATTGATGGCATGAGGGAATATTCCCATTCTTGCACAAAACTTGTGATTTGCTAAACTCAAAGAAGTACTGGATTCAGAATCTGTCTTGAATAAGTGTGCCTGAGTGATTTGCATCTGTGCATATCTGTGTATTTGCATCTCTCTCTCTCCTTCCCTCTCTCTGTCTCCTCTTCTCTTTCAGAAGAACAAGACACTAATAATTCCCTAGAATTAAACAAAGAAAGATAGGGAATACCAAGCCTCATCTATCAAACCCAAGCAAACCTTTCCACTATCCCTGAAAATATTCCAGGTGGTTCAAAGAATTTAAAATGAAATTGGAAGACCAAATGGGCCTATTCTTTCAGATGAATAAAAAGGAAGATACAAATGCCCAAAACTTATGGGATACAGCCAAAGCCTACATGAGAGGTGTCACAATTGCTTATATGGCTAGGGAAAATAAAATTAAAATACAACATCAAAGAAATCTCGAAGAAGAACTTAATAGGGTTGAGGAAAATCTACAAAACGAACCACAAAGGCGTGATCTGAAACAGCAAATAGATTTAATCAAATATAAAATAAATATCATTGAAAAGGAAGAACTGGGGCAACAAATAAAACGTACCAAACAATTTTTTTTTGAAAATGCCAATAAAACAGGTAGATGGTTGGCTTACAGAATAAAGAAACACAACGATAAAAAGAGGATTAGCAAACTATACAATGAAAAAGGAGAGATGGTATATCAGAATGAAAGGAAGAAAATGTGGCCTATAAGTTTTACAAGAAATTATACAAAGATGTAGAATGGAAGAACAAGGATGATATACTAAAATTCTTGCAATTAGCTGATCTACCGAAAGTCCCAAAAAAAATTAAAAATATGTTAAACAAAGAGATAACACCTTTGGAACTATCTGAGGCAATTAAGAAACAAAAAAAAACAATAAAGCCCCAGGTCCGGATGGTTTACCAATAGAAATATACAAAATTATACAAGATTCTCTAAGTCCAATATTAATAGATCTATTCAACGAGGTTCTGAAGAATGCGAAAATTCCGACCTCATGGGAAGATGCAATTATTACTTTGATCCCCAAGGACAATTCAGATTTGGCGTACATCAAAAACTATAGACCCATTTCATTATTAAATTCGGACTACAAAATTTTTATGGCCATAATGGTTAAACGTCTTGAAAGATTCTTAGTAAAATTCATACATTTGGATCAAAATGGTGTTCTACCCAAAATATATATATAAGAAACAATGTTAGGATCATACTGGATGTATTGGAATATTATGAAATTCACAATGAAAAACAAATGGGACTAATCTTTCTTGATGCACAAAAGGCATTCGATAATGTGAAATGGGATTTTATATTTAATCAATTGGAATACAGGGATTTTGGGGAGAATTTCTTAAACATGTTGAAAGCGATTTATTCCAAACTGATAGCCAAAGTGATAATCAATGGAGAAACTACATCTTCAGGCTGGTGTTTTCAGCTTCGTGCTTCGAGCAGCAATGTGTGGTCTTAGCTGTTTCTTCCTTTTAACTGCCAGTGGGGGTATGAACTGATTGGGTGGGAGCTTGGCTGTGTTCTGATTGGGTGGAGGTGTGTTCTGAATGGTTAGGGGCTTGGCTGTGCTCTGATTGGCGGGGGAGTGTTCTGTTTGGTTGTGCTCAGGTTAGTCTGAGTTGCAGAGGGGTTTAAGATTTTGGGCTGCCTTGCTATTTTTTGGCTTCGCGTTCGTGGTCATGCCTGCTCTTCATGGAGGGTGTCAGTTTGCTTCATGTATGGATTGGAGGGGTTTAAAGTGGCTAATGATGCAGCTGTGGTCTGGCTTCTGGTTTGTGGTCGTTCCTCATCATCGGTGTGGCTTTGGGTTTGTTTTTTGCGTGGATGTGTGGTGGCTAAGACCACACATTGCTGCTCGAAGCACGAAGCTGAAAACACCAGCCTGAAGATAACGAATGGGACTTCGTCAAAACGTCGCCAAGACACTTCCAATTTTACGCGGGAGAAAACCCGAACAACCAAAGACCTACATATATATATATTATAGCATCATCAATCAGTGGTGATATTCCTTGATGGTTCTTTGATTATGATAGTGTTTTCTTTCTCTGATTATTTAAACAATCTAATTCAGAGAACCCATATTATAGATACAATATATCTTAAGAAAAAGGAAGGTTGCCAGTGTATAAACTATAATCTTTCCTGATCTAGCACTCTCCATTTGTGTTAGGAATTGTCATCTAGCATCTGAAGAATACGAAGTTAGGGAAGGCTATTCTAATTTATGGCCTATGTAATATGACAAAATACAACTTCAAATATTACTATCACAATGTAACATCATAAGATAATAATAACACTAATAATCCATTTCAACATTTAGCATATAAACCAACCAAGACAACCAGAAACCTAAGGTTTCTGAATAATATTTACCATGTTTAAAAGTAAGCAGTTCCAAAATGCTATATATTTAACTTTACAATTAAAATATTTAGGAACAATTTGAGGAGCTACCACAAAGAAGAGGGGGTCACGTTATTCACCAAAGCACCAGAGGGCAGGACAAAAAACAATGGTTGGAAACTGATCAAAGAGAGAAGCAACCTGGAATTAAGGAGAAACTTCCTGATAGTGAGGACAATTAACCAGTGGAATAGCTTGCCACCAGAAATTGTGGGCGCTCCATCACTGGAGATTTTTAAAAAGAGGCCAGATAGTCACTTGTCTGAGATGATATAGGTTCTCCTGCCTGAGCAGGGGGCTGGACTAGAAGACCTCCAAGGTCCCTTCCAGCTCTATTCTATTCTATTCTATTCTATTCTATTCTATTCTATTCTATTCTATTCTATTCTATTCTATTCTATTCTATTCTATTCTATTCTATTCTTGTTGCTTCCATATTAAGCAGCATAAACCATACTGATTGAATTAGAATCAGTCTGTTTAGATCAAGATGTGGCAATCACAATGCAAACAGCCTGCATGTATATTTCTATAAACATACAGTAGTTACTCCATGAATTAAATAGTTGTGAGCAGACATAGTGAAAGATACCCTTTGGGTTACTGGAATGGTTAGCAATAAGTGTTGAGATATAAGATTGCAGCCACATTAAACATGCTTTTCATTAATTTAATGCCTAGTTTTCAAAAATCCCAATGAAGAATTTTAGTTATCTGTTAGTTTGCACTGTGCTATTATATATAAAATACCAGTAATAACAAAATCATATTTGTGGATTTTGGAACAAAGATTTTATTCACATGTGTAACAGCTCTCATGTTACTGCTTTATGTGCTGATGAAATTACAAGGATAGTGAAAAAAATCTACTCATTTCCACATTGGGTCTAGAAGCTTGTAAGTATTATAATCTATGCAACAAAATAAATGTGTATGTTTATTTTTATTGAATCCCCAATCCCCAAAATAAAAATACTGTATTAACCCAAGGAAAATAATTTTGCCTCTTTGTTCTAGGTTAAACATTTTCTCTAAGAAAGGAACCCAGTATTAGGAATTTATTTTTGGGATGCAGGTAATTTATTACTTATTATTGGTGATCCCTGAGTCAAGACCAGGTACCCACCATCTTTCTGGGACCTTCTTTAATGGCTCTGCTATTATGGATGCTAAAAAACCCCTGTGAAAACTAATGGACAACTTGGCAGAAGAAGCAAAACAGGTACTCAACAACAAGTTGTGTGGATAAGTCTTTAGGACATTCTCTTGCCCTGGATATGAGAAAATGCCTTAAAGACAAATGAGATCTTTCAGTTGCATGGAGCTGCAAGAGATCAAGGCAAGCCTTAGTCAACCATGAGTTAAATCACATACACTGCAGGCTCATAGTTATCAAGCTCCTGGAAGAAATCTCTTGAACAAAATGCTCAGCTTGTAATTCTTAAAAGCATCTTATTATACTTAACAAAAGCATGTCAGATTTAAAGAATAAATGTTTTACTGAATTATTTATTATATATAAAAATGGATAAACTTTACTCACTGGTCTTTCATGTTCAAGGATTGAAGACTTTCCTGGCTCATATTCAAAAATGCTTCTTGGTTCTGAACGGAATTTGCGGGTATCTACTTTTCTATCAGGAGGCTCCCACTCATTTCTAAAAATAAAAATAAATTGACAAATGATCTAATATCCAATACATGCAACACAAAGTTTTCTAAGAACAAATTAATGGATATTTTTAATAAAACTAGAACAAAAATGTCCATCACAATAGAGAATCTCCTGATTTTGAATGGAATTTCTAAGATTACCACACAGAAAATTATATTCCATATCAACATAAGTAATAATGTTATATTTAAAAATCAAAAGGCAAAAACTAACTATTTTTACTAAATAAATACTGAAAGCTGAATGAGTAATATTTGTCTACCTAGGTTGGAGTCCTTCTCTGTTTATGATAATAAAGGAGTGAGATGGAATGGTGATGAATAAAGTTTGCTGGTAGCTAGGGATTCTGCACATGTGGTATTAGGCAATGACTATCTGTTTGTAAAATTGGGCTGTAAGGATAAGCTGAGGTTTTAGTCTGCATACCATCCACATAAAGCTTGACATAAACCCTTGCCGGGCTCCTAAAATACCCCTGATACCTCCCCAACATATAGAATAAGGGGGTTTCAATTTCTTTGTATTATATTTGGCTCTGAGTAGAGTTCAGGAGTTCCTGGCCTTCCTAACCTCCATGCCAATCATGGGGGTGTCCTGAGTGATCTGTGGCTCAATGAACATAGGTAGTCACCCATTACAATTACCCTTCACTTTATACAAGTTGTATCATGATTTAATTGCATCATGAATGGAAGACATAGTTCATAATTTTTTTGCTGCAGTCAGATCATTCTATGATCCTGCAGGTGGAAGGGCCCAGTAAATTTATGTGCTCTGGTTCTTCTGGATCCAAATGGATTCCAGCAGGTGATGGGGATTTCCTTGAATCCTTAGTTTAGCTCTGGAATATAAAGATGACAGGGATGCTAGGCCAATTATTCCCAATTAACCTCTTATCATAAATCCCGAGTTGCTCTTGGAAATGAAGTAGCAGAAGAAATATCTAGACTAAAGCATTAGTATTGATAAAGATGGCAAAGGGCTCTTTTTTTGCCATGCTTTAGCACACAATGCCTTGTTTAGGAAGAACTGCTCCCTTCTTTGAGATAAGAATTGACCAAGCCTGTCTATAGGCTATTATGAGGATTTGGGGCATAGTGTGATAATAGTATTTGTAATATTGGTGAATGATACAAGAGCCATCACATATATACACTACACTGAACTGAGGTCTCTCCATTGACTATCAACAGGCTTCTGAGGACAATTCAAAATACTGGTATTGACCTTAAAAATCCTCTATGACTTAGCTACTGGATATGTATAGGTTTACCTATTTAAGTGGATTCTATCCTCCTGTTTGCTAGTCTTGGGTAGGGATGCTGAAGGTTCTTCCCCCATGTGTTATATTTCATGAGTGGAATAAGCTGCCAATCTGAAATCCTGATGGCTCACTACTACTGATTTTTAGAAAACTCTTTAAAACAGTGTTGTTTAGAAGGGCATTCATTTAAGACAAATAATCAATATATCTATACATTTTGTAATAACAATTCATAATATAGGTATGTGGTTTTAAATAAAATTATTTCTGTTTTATAGTATTTCTATATTACTATTATCTTTATTATTGTTAATTATACAGCACCATGATTGCACTACAAATTAGCAATACATAAAAAAGTCAGCCGGCCAGCCAGCCAGCTGGCCAGCCAGTCAATCAGCTGCTTCCATGAAAAGCCATGCTGTATCTCTGAATACAAAACCAAACACTGAAATAATGGCTCTCACACTAGTATCAAATTTGCCACTTCTGGATTAATTGCTATAAAGTAACATATAGCTTACTTTTCTGGGGCAGATCTTTGCCAAGGACGAACAGGTGGTACTGGAGGTGGTAGAGGTGAAGAGACCTTAAAGGCTTCAGTGCCATTGTCAGAAGTACTTTTTGTCAGTGGCCTGTATGTCTGAGTCTTTGCAACAGGATGTGCTTGAGCAGAAAGTGATTGACTGAGGTTACCTAGTCAGAGACAAATCAAAATCACAAAGGATCTAAATATTAGTACTAGACAGATAGAGGCAGACACATGCACAGACAAACATATACAGCAGTGTGGTGTAGGGTTAAGGAATGGGGAGATCAGGATGTAGTTCTCTCTTAGGCATCGAAGCTGAGTGGGAGAATTTGGGCCAGTCACTCTCTTTCTCAATTTTAGTTTGAGTACAACTCTCACAGGACCACTGTGTTATATTATCGTCCATAACCTTCAATGAAGAGGCCTTCATCTTGAAGTGGATTGATTCAACCTAATAAACACATAGACACATGCACACATTGTTCATTGAAATATGGACTGAGTAAAAGGAGCCTTCCTACCATCCCCCAAACTTCCACAGCAGAATAAAAGAAAGTATTTTCTATTTACTCAACACTAGCTTTGGATAATTCAGATCTCTTCTGCCATTTTGTTATAAAATGTGACTCTCCCAGATAATGCTGATCATTCATTTAATGGGAAAATAAAGTTGCCTATATTTTTCATCATCTTTGAAATACATGATTTATAACTCATAGTGCCCTCCCTTGAGCATCTCAAACTATGAAACCAAGAGTATTAATATATGCATACTCTGCATGTATTACAGAAATTGCTCTTCTGTACCATCCTGAAACTCTATGATTGAACCGGGCAGATCGAGCCATTTGTCCAATATTTTTCCACATACTGTAGAGATCTCTCTTATTGAATCAGATTAGTGTTTGAAAAAAGATTTGTAGAGCAAGTTAAACTATAGGCCAGCAAGACTATATGCTGTTGTGTCTATAACTATTTCCCCTTTCTGTAGCCTATACTTCTGTGATAGTTTAAAGATAGTTTCTTAAAAACAAAAACAAATGTAGTGATGAAATAAGAAATTTATTTGAGCTATGAATTCAAATAAAATAATTGACAGTCTCTAATGTTAGCCTGACTCCTGACCATTACTCAAAACTCTCAAAAGGACAAACTGATGTACATTTATATATATGCTTGTATACCCATACCTTATTAAAAAGATAAAGTCTTGCTTGTTAGTAATACTTATTAGTACTTAAAATATTTTCCTGGGCTCCAAGATCACCTCAGATGGGGACTGCAGCCAAGAAATTAAAAGACGCTTGTTCCTGGAGAGGAAAGCTATGGCAAATCTAGACAGCATATTAAAAAGCAGAGACATCACCCTGCCAACAAAAGTGCGTAAAGGCCATGGTTTTTCCATTTGCAATGTATGGATGTGAAAGTTGGACCATAAGAAAGGCTGAGCGCCAAAGAATTGAGGCCTTTGAACTATGGTGCTGGAGAAGACTCCTGCGAGTCCCTTGGATTGCAAGGCGTTCAAACCGGTCAGTCCTAGAAGAGATCAACCCCGACTGCTCTTTAGAAGGCCAGATCCTGAAGTTGAAACTCAAATACTTTGGCCACCTAATGAGAAGGAAGCGCTCACTGGAGAAGGGTCTAATGCTGGGAAAGATTGAGGGCAGCAGAAGAAGGGGACGACAGAGAATGAGATGGCTGGATGGAGTCACTGAAACAGTAGGCGTGAGCTTAAATGGACTCCAGAAGATGGTAGAGGACAGGAAGGCCTAGAGGAACGTTGCCCATGGGGTCGCGACGGGGTGGACATGACTTCACAATTAACAACAACAACAACTTAAAATATTATTTGGGAATATCACATTAGCTCAAAATTTCTTTTTTGTGCAAACAAATACAACGTGCAGCATAAAGTTAAAGCTGAAATGACAATTAAAATATATGCTATGTCCTGTGGTAAAATGCATTTTGCATCATTTTGAATCTAAGAATAACATTCACATTTGAAGTAGGCTTCCTGTTATTCATAGAAAACTTAAAATATTTTCACAATGTATTCTTCCCCCCCCCGCAGAGGTGCAGTCTTTTTTTTTTATTGAATTTTTTTTTAAATTTTACAAAAACAAAACAACCCTTCCCCAAACCTCCCCAACCCTCCCATTCCCTTCCCCGACCTTCCCAGAGCTGAATATAGGCTTAATTGAAATTTCTTCAAAAAATCTTAAAAAAGATATAAACCATGAATAAATCTAAATACATTAATTGAACAAATTGTAAAATAATTAACAATAATATATATATAAAAAAACATAAATACCAAAAGAAAAATATTTGAAAGGAAAAAGAATAAAGAAAAAGAAAAAAGAAAAAGATAAAAGAAAGTATAATAAAAATAAAAGATAAAAATAAAAAAAAGAATAAAGTCTATAAAATATTTTAAATTTTAAATATAAGTTATTGAAAAACTAAATAATATTTTTTTATATCCAACTTATATTGTATAAAATCTATCCATTTTTTCCATACCGCAAAATACTTCTCTTGCGATTGATCCTTCAAAAAAGCCAAAATCTTTGCCATTTCCGCCAAATAAGAAACTTTAAAAAACCACTCTTGCAAAGTAGGCAAAGATTCCTTCTTCCAACATTGCCCTACTAACAACCTTGCGGCTGTAATTAAATTTAACATCAATGTGGTCTCTTTAGTATCACAATCAGTAACAATACCTAACAAAAACAATTGTGGGGTAAATTTTACCCTCCTTCTAAAAATTCTTTGAATATTCCACCATATCTTAATCCAAAAAGCTTCCGGTGGTTTAAGCGTCGGTGATGGCGGCTACTTTGTAGCCGTCCTCCTGGGAAAGCGTGAGAACCGCGGAGAACAGCAGGCACCAGCTGTTCCGCGGCTCAAAACCTCCCTCCCGGGCGAAGGGAGGGAGGGGAGTATCACCTGAATAGAGGTAGAGCCTCTTAAACCCCCCAGGAATTTTTTCCTTGGGGGGTGAAGAGAGAGCTCCCTCGGAGTTCGGGTTGTCTCCGCCTTCCAGCTGTCTTTGTTCCTTTGGGAACAAAGCAAAACGCTGCTTCCACCTCCGTGCTTAAAGGAACTGGGTGAGTTATTTTTAAAAGCGGACAGAGCTGGATAAAGGATTTGATTTATTGGATGTTATTTGGACTTTAGTTTGAAAGGCTGACCTTTCTTTTTTTTCTTTTTTTTTCTTTGTCTTTTTTTGTGTGGAGAGTGAAAGTAAAATGGCGATTTGAAAGTTTTTTTTTTCTTTCAGGAAAAAAGTGAGTGAAACGGAATGTTATGGACTATATGGTTTTTTTTAAAAATTTTTCTGAAGGTGGATTTGTGTTTTGGAATGATTTTTTAAACTCTCCTTTGTTTTTTTTTCTCTTTCTGAGGATTTTTTTATTGTTTTTTTTAAGAAGGAAGAAAGAAGAAATAAGATTTTTTCTTTTTTTAAAATGGCTTCAAAGAGGCAAGCAGCTTCTACAGTACCCAAGGTGGCTTCTTCTCCTGCGATCCTACCGGCACAACAACCTAAAGCTACACCACCACCTTCTCCTCCTTTGCCAGCAATAACGGTACAAGATATGAAAGACATAATGGGAAGTGCTGTGTCTCAAATCAGAGGGGAAATGAAGGAGCTTTTAGAGCAGAATAAAACTCAAATTAGAGGGGAAATGAAGAACCTTTTAGAGCAGAATAACACTATTCTGAGGCAAGATATAGTTATGGCTTTAACAGGACTTGCTTCTGTGGTTGAGAAGTTAGATTCCAGAGTGGAAGAGGTGGTAGACAAGGTGGAAATTTTGGAAGACAAATTTGAAGGTATGGAAAAAAAGATGGAAATTTCACAAGATGATATTGTTATGTCTCAGTACAGAGAGATGGAACATGCTTTAAGAGATTGCTGCTCAAGATGTCATTATCTTAAAGGAGATCCCATCTAAAATTCTAAGAAAGAGAAAAGAGTTTGCTTTCTTAGCTAACAAACTTAAAAAAAGATTGATGCCATTCAGATGGGAGATTCTGATGGGCATGGTTGTGAGCCATGCGGGGACACGTTATAGACTTAATACAGTTTCTAAAGCAAAGGAGTTTTACAACTCGGTCCTGGGAGCAGGCTCACCACTACCTATGATGCAGAAAGTTTGGGATGGTAAAGAGGTGGAACAGCAATCTGAAGGAGTAGGAGTGATGGTTGCTGGAAAGTTACAGGCGGAGTGGTCGCAACAAACAGAGATCAAAGAGCAAAGAATGACTCGTGCAAGGAAAAGGAACAACAGAAGAAGGAAGTTAAAGAATCTCTTCAAGAAATTGTTTCGCTGCCGGTGGAAGGAGCAAGACCCAAGAGTTCTGCAGTACATTCTTCAATGGCAGATCTTCAAGCAGTCTTCTCCAGGCTTCTGGTTAAGGGAGATGGTAAAGCTCCTGACTTGGAATGCTAATGGCCTTAATTCCCCCCAAAAGAGAAAGAAAATCTTTCATTATTTAAAGCAACATAATAATGATATTATTTGCTTGCAGGAAACACATATTATATCTAAAGATCAAAAATATCTAGTTAATGCTCGTTTGGTATCTCATTTTGTATCTTCTGCTCCTGGGAAAAAAGGGGGAGTAGTTATTTATGTTAAGCAAAATCTATCAGCCTGTTTGGTAGAATCTGATCTTCAAGGGAGATATGTTATGATTGAAGTTGGTTTGTATGGTAAGAAAGTACTTATAGTGGGACTGTACGCACCAAATCAACAACAGGAACAATTTTATAGATTGTCACACCAAAAATTAACCTTGTTGGATTACAGATCTGTTATACTAATGGGAGACTGGAATGGTGTTTTAGATACACAAAGAGACAAAAAAGGATCTTCTATTTCTTTTAAACAGGCCAAATTACCTAAAGCTTTTTTTGATCTGAAAGAGGACTGGGAGCTGCGAGATTATTGGCGTGAACACAATCAGGAGGAGAGAGATTTTACTTTCTTTTCAGATAGACATCAATCTTTTTCAAGAATTGACTTTTTCTTGATTACAACTGACTTATATTTTAGGGTAAAGAATGTTAAAATTTTTCCTAGGACACTGACGGATCATAGTCCAGTTTGGATGGAATTGGTCAATGAAAAAGAGGAGAGGAGATCGTGGAGGATGAATGAAAATTTATTTAGACAAGAAAAGAATGTTCAAAAATTAAAGGAGCATTTAAAGGATTATTTTGTTTTAAATATGCATAAGGGAACTTCAATGTCAATGGTCTGGGATGCAGGCAAAGCCTTCATGCGAGGGATTTTGATACAAATGAATAATGTTCATAGACAGAAGCAGATTCAGAAATGCAAGGAATTGGAAGATGAGATTAAATTAAAAGAAAAAATTTTGATTTTAAATCCTACAGATGAGAAGGTTAAAGAATCTATAAAACTGCTTAAATCACAATTTAATATGTTGATGGCTGATCAAACTGCAACTAATTTATTGTATATGAAACCAAATACATTTTGTAATGCTAATAAACCATGGAGATGGTTGGCTTACCAACTGAGAAAGAAACAGAGACAGAGAGTTATAGATAAAATAAATTATAATGGTAAACTGGTATACCAGAAGGAGTTGATTAAGAAATCTTTTTTAGATTATTATCAAAAATTATATAAGAGTACTAAAGTACAGGTTTTAGATATAGGTAATTATTTAAATGAAGCCAACTTCCCTAAATTAACAGAAGATCAGAAACAAGAAATTAATGGTTTGATTACTAGTGAGGAAATTGAGACGGTGATCAAAGAATTAAAATTAGGTAAAGCACCGGGTACGGATGGCGTGACATCTATTTATTATAAAACTTTGGTACAAGAGATGATTCAACCTTTAAGTGAGCTCTTTAATAACATATTACAGGGTTTAGAGATCCCTCTGTCATGGGGTAGAGCCTTTATATCTCTAATTCCAAAAGAAGATCAAGACCTTACTTTACCAAAGAATTACAGACCTATATCTCTCCTAAATGTAGATTATAAGATTTTTGCAAAAATTTTAGCTAATAGGCTTATGAGGGTTTTGCATCATGTTATACATACAGACCAAACGGGTTTTATAACTGGAAGGTATATGAAGAATAATGTCAGACAAATTATTATTTTATTAGAATATTTAGATAAAAATAATCAAGTCTCTGCAGGATTGATATTTATAGATGCTGAAAAAGCTTTTGACCAATTGAATTGGCAATTTATGTTAAGACTAATTGAGAAAATGAATTTTGGAGAAAAAATTTTACAAGCTCTTGGTGTTATTTACCAAAAACAAACGGCACAAGTTATAGTTAATGGGGGTTTGTCAGAGGTGTTTACAATAGAGAAGGGGACTAGACAGGGTTGTCCACTGTCACCGTTGCTGTTTGTTTTAACTTTGGAAATATTGCTGATTAAAATTCGAGAATCACAGCAAATAAAAGGGATAGAAGTTAATAAAAAAGAATATAAATTAAGAGCCTTTGCGGATGACTTGGTGGTTACCTTATCCCAACCTACTTATTCTGTAATAGAGTTACTACAATTGATACATCAATATGGACGGGTTTCGGGTTTTAAAATTAATAATAATAAGACTAAAATATTGCCCAAAAATATGACTAATCTGGATAAGCAGATTTTGGTTAACCTGACAGATTTTGAGGTTGTTAATAAGGTGAAATACTTGGGGGTTATTTTATCTGTTTCTAATGCAAAATTGTATAAAAATAATTATGAAAGGTTGTGGGTCAATATACAAAGAGATTTGAAAAATTGGGAGAAGTTGCAATTATCTCTTTTGGGAAGAATTGCGGCGATTAAAATGAATGTTTTGCCAAAGTTTCTTTTTTTATTTCAAATGATACCTATTTTAAAGAATGAGGTTAATTTAGATGAATGGCAGAAAGGTATTAATAAATTTATCTGGGCAGGGAAAAAACCAAGAGTAAAACTTAAAATTATACAAGATATTCGCGAGAGAGGTGGACTCAAAGTACCGAATTTGAAATTGTATTATGAGGCTGTGGTTTTAACATTAATAAGTGATTGGGTTAATTTAACAAATGTAGAAATACTCCTCTTGGAGGGTTGGGATTTACTTTTTGGATGGCATGCCTATTTAATTTTTAATAAAAAGGTCGATAGGGTCTTTAAATCTCATATTATAAGGATTTCTTTACTTCGGGTTTGGAGGAAATATTATAGAAGTGATTTTAAAATTCCATTATGGGCTATACCATGGCATGCGATAGAAGGGATAAGGAGAGGAGTTAAGATGAATAGTGTTTCTTACGTACAATTACTTAGATGGGATGGTAAAAATTGGCAGTTAAAATCTTTGGAAGATTTAACACAAGAAAATATTATTTACTCATGGTTTCAGTATAGACAAATAGTGGATAGGTGGAAGATAGATTGTAACGTGGGTTTGCTTAGAGAAGATGAAAACTTGTTAAAACAAATAAAAGATCAAAGACGAACTCACATTAAGAGAATTTATGGGGTGCTAGTAGAATTGGATTCAGAAGCAGAATTAGTCAAAGAATGTATGATTAAATGGGCACAAAATTTTGGTGAATTAGTTCTACTAGACACCTGGGAAATTATTTGGGTGAGGAATGTCAAATTTACACAAGCCCAAAACTTAAGGGAGAATTTTTACAAAATGTTTTATAGATGGCACCTTGATCCACAAAAATGTCTCGCATGTATCCTGACTTACAGCCTAAATGTTGGAGATGCGGATGTTTGGATGCTACTTACTATCATATCTGGTGGTCGTGTAAAAATGTATTCTTACCAAATTTTTCATGTCAGTGAAATGGATGGATCTATTTATTTAGATCCATTTTTTTACGATACAGATTTTGTTTTGAAATCTAATGAAAATTAGAGTGGTTAAACAACTGCTTTCGATGCTCATACTCTTTCCTCAAAATGGGGCAGAATATATGCCTTTTTGGGTTGTGAATATCCTTTATGTTGTGCATAGAAACAAAGCAGTTCCCTACAGTGCTGCTACCTTCAACTCAAGATAGTACAGAAAACTTGTTGCAGATGCTATGCTTTCACACTCTGCTCTAATGAGTTATCTTAAGATGTTACTGTGTATTCAAGTGTTCTCCATTCTAAAGTAAAAGTTGTCCAACCAATACAAATAAAAAACAAAATTAATAATACATGTTGGATAATAATACATATGGGGTTAGATATTGTTAGAAGTTGCTGGCACTAAAAAGAAAAGACCCATGTGAAAAGAAGGAATAATTCCTACCAGTATTATATGCATATGAAGTATTATACATGTCAGTGTCATCATCTACAAAAAGAAAGACAAATGTTATAGCAGTGAAATACCTGTCCATTTATTCACAGCAAGGCAGTTTTAAACTCTCTCCCTTGATAATTTTTTACTATTTGTGGTGTTTATTTTCCAATTTATTCAGTGTGATATAGCACTAGACTTGTACTCGCTCAGAATTCAAATTAAGATGCCACAAATGAACTCTAACGAATATGCAGAAAGAAGCTTTAATTTCTTTCCATTATTGAAGCAGCTAAAGTGATTTGTTCCCTAGGTAAACAATAGCAATGGGAATCATGCTAGCATGCTAATTCGAAGGAATGCAAATTAAAATTTGCTTTGTTGGGTCTCTTCAATACACTCATATTAAGCCCTTCACTCTCTTCTTCTTGAAAAGACCACTAAGTAGCGGTTTTTCTTTAACTGGAAAAAAAAAAATAATGAACTGTGTTTAAGAGACTCATTGAACTGAAAATGCAGTATATAAACATTACATGTCATGAGGTTTAGGTCTCTAAGAGACTTTCAAATAATTTCTGCTGTCCAATCCAGGCACCAAAAGAGTGTTAGTAAGAGTTCCCATCTATTTGGTTGTGCAATAGGAGAGGACCTAGTTGAAGGTATGAGAACTCTCTGTTATGGAACAGCCTGTTCCTAAGACAAGAATAGTCTTAACTCTTGTGGTTTTCCAGAAACTGGCTCTTCCAGAGACCTTTGAGAATTGTTTATTGTTCATTGGTGCCTATATTAATCCAGCTATAGAACAATTAGTTCTACACTCTTTTCTTTTTTTTTAAACAAATTTTATTTATAATACAATTAAAAACAAACATTGGATTTGACGTGACATTCCAGTATACACATTCTTATCAGATTATTCCACTTTTTACAATCAATTCTTCATCTGTACATATACATCTAAGTTTTATATACAATACTTGTTCTAAAATAACATATATTTCTTTCGTAACATTCATCTTTAATCCCGACTGTCCTCTTCAAATTCCTCCAGCGGTAAAATTTATCCCAGGTTTCATAACAAACTGATCCACATTTATCTTTTAATATCATTGTGAGCCTGTCCATTATTACACATGCTAATATTTTATGTATTAACTCTTCCTCTGTGGGAAATTTCCTTGCTCTTCCATTTTTGCCCTAAAGCAAGCCTAGCTGCAGTCAGGATGAAGTTCTACACTCTTTTCAATGTTGTAAGACATCCAGAGTTGTGCAGGAGCAGGCAGCCATGGAAATGGAAATAATAAGACTAATAATAAAATTAAAGGAGCAATCACATAAATAAAAATGGAAAGTGCCCTTTGTGATTGTAGTTATTATTACCAATTATTATTACTGGGTATTAGTGTTTCTTTTTTATGTTTTTATTACCTATAATAATCAGCCTAACATTCCTCTGGACTGAGGTGGGATGAATCGCATCAATAAATAAACAATAAAAGCATCTATAAAAAAATCTAATCTGTTAGCAAGTCTACAAATAAGGAAGCAAAAAGTAGAAATTATACATACCAGGCTTATGAACCATATGGATTTGCTTAAACATTGTCTTATACCAATCCTTTGGTCTGTCAACAGTCTAAAAAGAAATTAAATTTTAAACAATTAGCAGATAATCAGTACAAAAGCCAGACTAGTAACAAAGTAGGAAACCATTTATTTATTTAATTATTACACAGATTTATATAGCCTTCCAACTCACACATACTGTAGGTGACTCTTGGCAGCTTACAAAATTTTAAAAAACCACCATATAATAAACTCCCATAAAATATCTCACCCACCATGGCAGCAACAACATAGTCAAATCAGCCACTTTATTGACTTCATCTTCATTTTTTGTTCTCAGGCTGACAAAACCACATTTTGGGGGCATGTAAGAAACACAGTAGGGGCCAACTATATCTTATGAGAAATGATGTTCCATAAAGAAGAGGCCACCACTGAGAAGGCCTTTTTTTTGGTCCCACCAGACATACATCCTAACTGGTGGGCCAGGCGGATGTTATCGGGGAGATGTGGTCCTTCAAATAGCCTGGCCCCAAGCCATGTAGGGCTTTAAAAGTGATAATCAGCACCCTGAATTGTAGCCAGAAGCAGATTGGCAGCCAGTGCAGCTCCCACAGAAGAGGTGACACACATGCAAGTCTAGGCTTGGACTACTGCAATGCGCTCTACATGGGGCTACCCTTGAAAAGTATTCGGAGACTACAGTTGGTCCAGAATGCAGCCGCGCGAGTGATAGTGGGTGCTCCTTGATACACCCACATTATACCTATCCTCTGTGAGCTGCATTGGTTGCCTATTGGTTTCCGGGTCCAATTCAAGGTGTTGGTTAAAGCCCTATATGGCTCAGGGCCAGGCTATTTGCGAGACCGCCTACTACCTCATAGTTCCCTTCGTCCGGTTAGATCCCACAGGCTGGGCCTCCTTCAGGTCCCGTCGGCCAAGCAGTGCCATTTGGCGGGGCCGCGGAGGAGGGCTTTCTCTGTGATGGCACCCACCTCTTGGAACCAGCTCCCCTCGGAGATTAGGACCGCTCCCACCCGGTTGGTTTTCCGTAAGCTGCTTAAGACCTGGCTTTTCCGGCAGGCCTGGGGTTTATAAAATCTGACCCCTGGATGACTGTTGTTGTGCTGTTCGTTTTGTTATGTTTTATGTGTTTTATTGTTAGCGGCACAGAGTCCTCTGGGAGTGGGGCGGCTTATAAATTTTAAAAATAAATAAATAAATAGGCTTGGGCTACTTCATTCTGAATTAATTGAAATACTCTTCAAGGTCAGCCCCATATAGAGCATATTACAAAAGTCCAGATATGACATGAGTGGGTGATTAATAAAACATTTAACCTCTTGATGAGTCCCCGTAATAGTTGGCATGTTTTGCTTGGCTTAGAGTTAAAATGATACAATATACTGATTATACACAAAGTAAAAATATGGTGGGTTTTTCATATTTTCTAAATGGACATTATTTTCTACACAGGTGATTAAATTGTGAGTCAGTTCATTAAAATTATGGATATAAAAGTAATCCAAAGGATTGACCTAACATTTCTTATCCAGCTTCTCTCTACTGTGCTTCCTCAGTGAGAAAATTCCCAGGCAGGATTTTGGAAGCGGCAAGGCATATCATAATGCTAGGGAAAGACATTCCTCTATATTCCCAGAAAGACATCTTCTCATCTGCAAGGGATGTGGTGGCTCTGTAATTAGAATGGAGGCTTAAGAATCAGCAAGACTGAGTTTGAGATCCAGGTATTATATGGAGGGATGAGCTCCCACCATTTGCTCCAGCTCCTGCCCACCTAGAAATTTGAAAGCATGTAAAAAGTGCAAGTAGATAAATAGGTACCACTTTGATGGGAACCCACAGGGAACAGAAGAGGTGAGTCTCCATTAGGTGCCCCCCAGGCAAAGGTGACATCACTAGCTAATCTTTATATGAAAAATTCAAAAGGCCAATCTTTTCTATAGCTAGCTTGTTGGAATCTATATTTTTCAAAACAGCTTCCAAGGCGCCTGAAGGCAGGACAAGAAGCAACGGATGGAAACTAATCAAGGAGAGAAGCAACCTAGAACTAAGGAGAAACTTCTTGACAGAACAATTAACCAGTGAAACAACTTGCCTCCAGAAGCGGTGAATGCTCCAACACTGGAAGTTTTTAAGAAGAGACTGGACAGCCATTTGTCTGAAATGGTATAGGATTTCCTGCCTGAGCAGGGGGTTGGACTAGATGACCTCCAAGGTCCTTTCCAACTTTATTATTATTATTAATAAATAATATAATAGATATTTTAATACTTTGTAGTATTTTCAGTGGGCAATTATTAACAAGTCAATAAGACAAATCTTACATTGGATTATTTTAAGTAGGACTTAATATAACTGCTAAAATTATCCAATCTATAATATTTTATTTCCATCCTCCAGAGGCTAATAGGGTGTTGAGTTGCTGTAAGCTCTTAGAAAGTGATTAGAAATCATAAATGGGTAGACATTATATCTTACAAAATTGTATTTCCAAACCCTTGGCTGAAAGATACTTTTGTTCAGCAAACGGCACAAGATACAGTAGTCAACTTTGCTACAGTACTAAAACTTCCCTTTCTTGCAGCTGGCTTTTACTTGATGAAGCCAAAACTTTTAATGTCATACTTTATTGCAAAAGCCAACAGGCTTAAAATGTTGGCTTCTTTTCATTCAGCGTTCTGTCTTTGGGCAAAGATACCAAAGAATAAATATACAGAAGTGCACCGTATTATGTTTGTCCACATGAAATGAACAGATAAAATATTTTAGGCATTCAAATTATTGGAAAGTCTAGGCCAAGACTGTTGAGATCCTCTGAGCTTTGCTTTATCCACTAGTTCTACTTCAAAAAAAGCACGGGTACACCTCTAATTGTTAAAAACAGCAGATTAATAAGAAGTTGAAACAAATGCCATTATTTCAAATGTAATAGGTTTAATTCTTAATTAACTATTTAGTACTCGGTGCTTATAGGTTTTCTTATCACTGGTACTTCTAGTGATAGTGAGTCACATGCAGTTGGGAGGAATCATGAGGCTATTTCAGTGTCAGACACCAATATGCTAAGTATCCTCAGATATAATTTTCTTTTATACCAAGCCTGGAATCTGACAATCGTGGAATGAATGAAGAAAGGCTACAGGTAAATCCTGGTTAACTAGAAGACATAGTCATTGTGGCAACTAGCAAAATCAATTTACATGTCAATTAGGGCCACTTTCAAAGTTACTTTTAAAATAGAAATGAGCACTTTGTCATCCTATGAGTCATCCAGGCACACTATAAGAATTGTTAAAAAGTATATTAATTTCCCAGCATAGGAGACTATTTATCATAACTGAGCTTGAACAGAGCACTTCATACATATTTAATGAAAGGCCACATAGAACAGAAAACACATTTGATTTTAAAATGATACACTTCTATTTTATTCTATTTTTAAGTGCAATGGAACTGTCAGGATTATTTAGATTGCAGCAGTTATCTATTACCTTAGTTATTTACTTATACATTTTATCAATCCATCTTTCTTCTATAAGCTAGATTTGGAGATGTATATATTTCTCTAAAATAAATTTTAAAATAATAAATACATTAAACTTTGTTTAAGTTAGGTGACATATTTGCAAATATATGTAAATATCCACTGCAACTGAAACACTAGTGGTATTGTACATTCACTTTATCTGCATCTTAAGGTGAATTTGTGTGTATTACATTTTTAAAACAACTTTGTAAATAGATCAAAATTGTGCATGAAATATAATGCTTTATAGTTCTCATCTGCAGCTGTACTGAGATATAAAAAAAATCTACTTCCAAGCACACTTTCCCAAGAATAAGCTCTTATAAATTTAGACTTCTGAACAAACTTATATAGAATTGAAGAGGGTATCATAAAATATCTATTCAATGGGCATATTTTTTTCAAAATGCTAACCAAAATGGGATATTATTACAAATGTTACACAACCAATAGAATTTGATTTGAAAGATTTTAATATATAGCTAGCTATGTGCCAAGTCCATTAGATGCAAATTGGAGGAATTTAATTAATTTGCCAATATAAATAGCCATTCTATGTAACCAAGCTGTGGCTTCAAAAAATCATAATAATCTCCTATATATCCTTAAAGAAGACATACTTAAGGGAAGCAAAGATCCATTTAATTGCCACCATTTTTAGTTTTTAAAAGGTATTTTATCTTACCTGATCAAAACTTCTCCATCAATTCCCCCCTCCCCTTTTGCCCGCCCCCAACTTAATCTCCACTGGAGCCATTGGCAGGCAAGCTACTCCCACTGCTTCCGTAGCACTGCGTTGCTCAAAGAGTCACCTGAAATCTGAAAGGCTTTGCTGCTTTCATTTCTGCTCCTCCTTGTTCTTTTATCCCTTTCGTTGAGGAGATTGGCAAACTGTTCTTTCTACCAGTTGCAGAAGCTACTGCTGCCGCCTGTCCCAGACGGAAAGGGTTGCTGGAGCAGCAGTGTGGAAAAAATGCTTCAGCCTAACTGAAAACAAAACACTTCACTGTGGCATCCTAAAAGCACTCAAGCACTAACTAGTGGCAAGCATTCAACATTGACCTGAAAATGTACTTTCCTCTCCGCTTCGTTCTGTGTCAGCAAAGGAAAGAGCCCAGTTCCGTTCAGTGCTTCCCAGTACTACAGCTAAGTCAGAGACTGTTTAATAGGAGGGTGTTTACATTCTTTCATCCATTTTATTTCTGTTCACTCATAAATGCAAGGAATGATAGGATATGCAAGGGCATCTTGATAAAAGTGGCAGCAAATGCCAAACTTTGAACAAATTTTAAAGAAGATTGAAAAGATGGAGCAAACAATTTTTTTCTAACAATGGTGTAGTGGAGATGACAAATAAATTAAAGCAGAGCTTTTCAGGTACCTGTCTCTTTCCCCACAGTGACTCTGTTTGTGCATATTTTATTTCATGTTATATAAAGCCAGGAAGAATGTGAAAAAGCCATCATCAACAAGACATTCATTGTATGAAGTGCACACACACAAAAACACACACACACATTTCCTACCGTTCTAATTGCCGTTGGAATTCCTGATTCATCAACTGGCCCAATTCCTGCATAATGTGGTGCTTTAATGACTGTGACTTTCTTTTCTTCCTCTGAAGTCCTACAGATCGGTATGGTGGTGGTGGTTGTGCTGCTGCTGCTGTCACCGCCACCAGTAGAGTGTACATGCTGTAGATATGTCTCTGCAGATTCTACAAAGATAACATATGGTTGTACAACTGTAGCACTACCCTGCTTTGCCTGCATATTCATGGCACATGGCAACAGATACACATAGATGATCTTCTTTGTACTACTAGATGGAAAACAGAAGTAGAACACAGCAAATCTTAGCTCTCCAGTCTTTCGCTTCAGATGCTGGAAGGCTTCTGTAAATCAGAGCAGATGATTTGGGCTGCAAATGTCAGGTAGCAACAAAGAGATAATTTGTGAGACTACCTTGTGGCCAAACAGATTGTTGCAGCCTAAAACTGGTAACCTTACGTTCATAATACCACTGGTTTATTTTATCATAAAACTCTGAACGAGGCTGAGTTATAATACATAAATCATTGTTTACAAACCATAATGATTAAACTAGCATAAATTCTGGACAAGTGGAAGTTTGAAAAATAGGAAGGAGAAGACATTTTATAATTATAAAGTCCTAATAAAGACACATTACTTTCAACAGAAACTTCAACAGGCAGAGCAGTTGCTGTAAGGGTTGTTGCAAATAGTTTAAATTTATTTATTTAATTACTTATTACATTATTGAAATTACACATCTCCCTCACAGAGGGAGGGAGTAAAGTAAGAAAAAATAATTCCCCCTTCTCTTTCCCTTTTGCTAATTTTTTAAAATACAAAATTAAATCTGAGTTAAGTCAGATATTTTCACAGAAAATTTTCAAAATTGCAGAAGAGATTTAATCAAAGGCAATATGTCAACATTCTCATTTTACAGATGAGAATGATTAAGACCAATCAGCACAGAAACAGCCATGGTAGTATATTGTTAATGTTCAGATTTAATTGTACTACTCTTATACAATTTTTGAAATCTGAGTGTCTTATTGATGTATGGCAACCTCGATCATAGTTCTAAAGAAAACCCAACCTATGTATGTAATTTTTAATTAATGTTTATAGTCGAACTATTAAATTAATAGAAAGGCTATTAATATCTGACATCAGATCTTTTATTAAAATTTGCCATCTATAAATAAGATAGCTAGGAGCATATATGGTAAGGCGATTTAGATTAAGCATGCATAAATATCTAGATATCTGGGCTTTTCTCCAAATATGCATAATACTAAATTTAGAGAGGAAAAAAAAGGAGTGTGTTTCTATAGTCCAAGAATGGCAAAAATTGTCTGTCTTCATCATAAGAGCTTAAGGCATAACCAGACATAACATCAAGTGTATAAGTTCAATTAATCTACAGTATAGGCTTTTTAAAATGTAAATATAATCTGCAGAAAGATAGAAAAGACATTTTCGGAAGCTGAGGGGAGAATTTTATCCTTTGTTTTACCGTAACTGTAGAAAACCCCCCATAAACAAACAAACCCTCAGAAAACCTGTCCATAATAGGAAGGTTATTTAGAAAACTTCCATTAAATCTGTTCCATATTTTGACATATATCTCTAACTATGTATATTCAAAAGTTGCCATATTAAAGCTCTAAATTATAATGCATAAAAGGGAGGAGCAGATTAAAAATACAAAAAAAATTCAAAAGGCATGAGGCTCTCAAATCAAACTTCACGAAGATTTAGCAAGGTACAGTAGAATATTGATTTAGAAGATAAAAATTGACAATTGAGTGGAAGACAGCATGAACTGCAGCAGGTGGAGCAGAAAGAGACCGAGAGACATAAAAGAGGTGGTGGTGGTGGGGGGGAATTTCTCTTTGGCCCTGTTCTCGTTTGTGCAGCCACAGTACAAGCAAGCGTTCCTTACTTCTCCCTTCTCTGACTCAAATTGAAGGGGAGAATCAAGGTATATAAATCAGGTAAATTTTGTCACCAATTGCTTTGGAAAAAAGAGAGGTAAGTGACAATGACTGAGAGCAATGGCAGTAAGCAAGATTGGAATTGCCAGATTTTATGCTTGTTTGGTTTTCTGCTGACTTAGGGATGGGGAGAGAACATTTTAATTTAGCAGAAATAAATGACCCCAAATATGAGTAAATTGTGCTGTTTTTAAATGTTCCCAGAAATGAAGGAACGTAAAAGTTTATGAATAAACCCGATTTTTTGGTGAAAGTTGGACTGGATAATACCTAATAGTTTACAGATTGTCCAAATAATAATATTTTTTAAAAAGGATTTTAAAAAGAGGAAAAAGGCCATGGCAGAGTCTGGGGATGGGGTATAGCAATTAATGCAGGGAATATTAAAAGAAAACTTTATGGAACAGGATTCAATATAATGAAATAGCTAGAAATGCAAACATGCATAGTTCACATTACAATATTTTGTGGCATGGACTCAGTAGCTTTACTTAAACAATCTACAATAAGCTGCACTTGATTTAAGTTCAGCTTTATGAAGAAATATTTAATCCCATTGAAACATTTAATTTCAACAATTAAAAAACAACTATTGGGACAACAGTTGTCATAAATTCATATGGACTTATACAAACTTAATTTACACTGTGATAGCATGAATACAGTATGATATATTTAAAAGTTTCACACAAGTAGTATATTTCCACTCTCACTGACCAAACTTACATATTCTTAGTTCCAAATGATCTAGATCAGTAGTGGCAAACCTATGGCATAGGTGCTAGAGACGGCACTCAGAGCCCTCTCTGTGGGCACGTGCGCCGTCGCCCCAGTCCTAGGCCTTCAGCTGGGTTTTATAAAACATTTTCGCTTTAGGCCTCCACCGCCGTGTGCAAAAAAAAAAAAAGTTCAGTCAACTTCTCGCGGGGAAAAAAAGGTCTTACAAAGTTAGAATTGATTGAACTTTTTAGTCCCACCGCAGCCACTCCCACCCAATGGGCCACGCCCACCCAATGGGCCACACCCGCCCAATGGGCCACACTCACCTGGCACCGACAATGTGTAAGTGGGTTTTGGGTTGCAGTTTGGGCACTCAATCTCTAAAAGGTTCGCCATCACTGATCTAGATAGATTTTCTTTCTAGCGATTTTTGTAGCAAAATATGCTTGCTGCCACAAAAACCTGCTGTCAAATGTTATGTTGAGAAGGCTAGTATTCTCAAGTCATTTGGAAGCTAAGAAAAAAGTGGCAATGTGTGGGGTTTTTCTGCTACCATTATCAGTATATGTGATGGCAAAATAACAGCAAGAGCTGGAACCTATTTTGAGAAAAGTGAACTAGGAAGCACTCTGTGTGGTTGATTTCAGATATAATTCAACATATTCCTATTAATCAGTGAACAATGCTTATGGATTTAAAGAAAGGTGTCATTTGCATGCCAAACTCACCCATTGTCCTGCTCTGTTGCAGGAGAGAGGAGCTTGAACTGAATGAGACTGGTGGAGAGTACGCCAAAGAAGGGGAGAAAGGTCTTTGAAAGTAACTCATTGGGCTGGTTGCCAAGTTAGAATTCCCATTCACTGTTATCTGAGCCTGAGAGGAAAGAAACAAAACAAAAACAAAAACAAAATCCCTAAATCATATCCAATCATATGCAGTAAACCACGGAAGACTGAAATTCACCATCAATATAAAAGATGAAGGAAAGAATGGTAAAATTCATAACAGTAGCCAGCTTTCCAGTGTTTAGCTACAATCCATAATCATTCCTAGAATTATGAGGATATTAGTTTGTTATATTTGGAGACTTACTTTTTATCAAAAGCTCATGATACCTTACGTAGGAATTAGATTTCTCTTTGTTTTATCCTAGAGCAAGAATTGTGCAAGAGTCTGGTCTGAGAGAGACCAACTAGCCCATGGTTTCTTAGTAAGTTTCTGTGGCTGAGAGCAGACTTGAACCTAGATCTTCTCAGTTTTAATACAACATCTTAATTACTGTATTATATTAAGTTTCACAAAGGCCTCGGTTAAAGTAGCATTTGAACAACTGCTTACAAAATGAAGAGGATAGTCAAAATTGCTCTCTCCATTCTCCTGAAGATCTAATTTTTGTTTCCCTTATACCTGACTCTTACTATTATTCACTTGAAATTCTCCAACCCAAAATACCCAAGAAAAATAACCAAATTTCCTTCAAGTAACAAAAATCAGTGATTATTGATATCAGTGAGCAATATGTAGATTTTTATAAGAATTTATACACTGCCTGTTGAATTCTGTCAATATTTCTATTTTCTTTTGAAAGAATACCATGTTGGATATGCTTCCATTTATTATGATTACACTGCTGCAACTTTTTCAACATTAATGGGTTGCTATTTTGTTTTTTAAAAATTGTAAACTTGGGGCCTACAAATCCTTTTCAAAAACAGGAAGAACTGAAAGAGTATTTTGAGTGATGTGACATTTTGCTCTTCTCTATACTTGTAACTATGTGGATGGAACTGAACTTGTACAGTACTATGGCACATGATAAGGAGAAATTACAATATGTACACAGTATTTACATTTTCCAATGTAAATATACTGCACTGGAAGCAATTGCCTCTACTCTCAACTATTCTTGTAAATGATGGATGTTATTCTACAAACATGGGCTAATCTAAACATTTTCAGGGATCCATATCAGGTTATAGTCTTTGGCTGATATTGCTTTAATTTTTGACCGGTCATTTAAAATTTAAACTGCTGTCATTTTGTAATAATTTGTTTTATTATGTAGAATAAAAAAAGTCATTATCAAAAATAGGATGTTGGCCATAATATCTTTCTGTTTTGTGTATTATTATTATAAATTTATTTGCCACATTGCAATATAAAAAACAGGCACAGCTTTGATCAAACCAGCATATTGACTTTTTCACTTTACCCTGCACACACTCCTTTGTAGACACTAATTTATGCCAACCACACAGCTGTCATCTATAAAATACAGAGAATGCCTGCAAGTTATAGGAATAAATGAATCCTATGCTCAAATTATTGTTTTAACATGGGCACAAATTTTATTTACTCATTTAGTGGATATATGTCTCCTCTTTCTCTCAATTTGATGATAGGATAAATGTGTTTATCACCCATTTAGGGTTTTCTGCTTTTATGTAAAATTTGGGGTTTTAGTCTGTTGTTTTCCTTTATTTTTAAATATATAATAAAAAACTCACATGCACTGCAGAAACTGAAATGTAAAATTATACTTTATTTCTCTCTGTCTCTTTCTCTCTCTCTGACACACATATATGCACACACACAAGCACACATTTACAAAGGGCAATGTTAGTTTAGGGGCGAAATTTGACTTAGAATCAATTTTATGCAGTCAATGTTTATAAATAATCACTATCAAAGTTGTGTTACATGTGTGCTCTTCAAATATTTTAAATTACATTGTAGGGGCATATTCAGATTTCTTACTTTTTTCTCATTGGTTTGCAACTTGCCTAAAGATTCTGTGCATATACACTGGCATCATACTGTAGTCTTGCTTATATTCTAAACACTATTCCTCTTTAATATGAGGGACTGAAGAATTATAACCAGTAGATTTATTCAGTATAGTTGAAGCAATTGGAACAAGGATGTGTTGCAGTGAAAAAACTGACACCCAAATGTTGACAGCAATGACAAACGTCTCATGCTCATTCCACGCAGACCCCACTTGGCAAGAGGCCCAATTGATATTCCCACCTCCCCTTTCTTGCATCACCTATTGCTCCTTCTAGCCAAAGCCAATCTTCCAAACATTAATGCCCTGAAGGAGGAGGCAAGCCAAATTGGTCATTTTTGTACCTTAATCTGGTAAGGAAGAAAGTTGGATGTGGGAGAGAGTGAGGAGCTAAGGTACCAAGGTTTTTGGATTGGGATGAGGAATCCAGAAGGAGTGGGATGTGGCAGAAGTTCCCACCAATAGAAAACTAATCCCCACAACTCAAAACTGTAATTGCAGTATTTTTCTGAATCAGGTTCCAAGCAGATTAATTTTGGAACCTAATCAGTTCAGATTTATAAGACAATAAAATTACAAACTGAAAATGTTTGTGCTTTAAACTTCCATCACATTTCTGTTACAATCAAAATTTAATCTTTGCAAACTTTAAATTGGAGTTAGATAACACACCAGTGACACAAGGTAAGTTTATGCATTTACCAGGTAGAAAAAGGCATTTGAATAGCTTTTGCAACAGTTAGCACTCCCCAGAGCCCACAAAGTGGCAAAACTGTTGTTTTTGTCTTTCTTTGCCCTGAGATATTTGGAAGTTTGAGGGGCCAAATTGATGCCTTAAACTTTAATCATTTAGTCTTACCTCCAAATAGAATGGTTTTCTCCATTAAAGGCAAAACAATGCCTTATTGCTCTTTCACACCTCCCTCAATCTCAACACACAAAAAATCCTGTTGAACACTTCAGCATCATCCAGTTTGGACTGCATCACTGGCCTTCCCCTTGCAGGCCCTCAATCAAGACACAAAGTGCAACTTCCTAGTTCTCATTGATGAGGTAAAGAAACAACTGTTTTTTATTTCACTGATATTGTAAAAATTACCATTTTCAAATATTGGAATTATGTTCCTCCCACTGTATTCCTTATTGCATGGAAAAAGCTCAAAATCTTTACAGCTCAAGATACCCCCTGCATACCAATTAATTAAATGAGGTGACAGACCAAAATTAGCTTCTTTTCCACCTTGACAGCATGGTTGAACAGAATGGAAGAGAAAAGAGGAAGGATAATTACATGAGAGCTGGCAGCAGTGGAGGTTAAGGTGGTGCCATCAGACGCAGCAGACGTCTGGCTCAAGGTTGGGGAAGGTGTTTCAGAACAGTCAGTAGTATCATAGTTACAGCTTTGTAGCTCATCTAGCATGGCAGCGGAGAACTCACTCATTGGCTGAGAGGAGAACTCACTCATGGCTGACACAATAGAGTCAGTTTCAGTCTTGTGGAGCAGAGTGTCAGGTACAAGGAAGGGGTATGGATAGGAGAACGGTGAAAGGGCTGGGGTTCTATAAATGGGTGACGGCCAGAAATCATCAGATGGTGGTAAAGGAAATGACGTTGCATGGGTGCCACTGTCAGGTGAGAGAGAGGGTTGGTGAACCGGAACCCTGGGAAGAGGAGGAGGAGGAGGAGGTGGTGGTGGTGGTGAGGGAGGCAACGGTGCAGCTTCAGCTGATGTTTGTCTGTGTGTCTGGGAAGCATTTACCTCCATCACATTGGCAGTCACTTTCTGGTTTCCAAGCTGAATTTTGAGAAAAAAACAAACAATCAAAACATAAGAAAACATATTACTAAAATTGATTTTAAAAAGTGCTTTCCTTTAGTTGTGCTCAAGGGTATACAAAAAGAAAAAAAAAGACACACACTCTGTGTGTGGCTTTTTCTAAGCTTTGAAAATAAAAATCAGGTAGAAAAGAAAATAAAGTTTATTTTAGAAGGAAATCATACTAAGTGAATTTGTCAAGCAGTAACAGAAGCAACGCCAGAAACTACAGTGTACTGAATAAACATTTATATTCATTTCCTAGGCTTAAATTGTTTGAGGTTTTATTTAAATTAAGTTTGATTAAGCTTAATTTATCACTAAAATTAGAAGGACTTTTTAAAAAACACATAATTGCACCTCCTTTTTAATAGAAATAAACAAAACAGGCCCCAGTTCCTAAAGGACTCCTGTACAATGGTTTCAGTGTATGAAAGCACTGGATTATACATTAAGAGTGTACAAATTACATGCCATTTTTATAGACTCAATGGCAAAAAGGACCATGATACTCATCCCTTTCATGTATAGAAGTTTATGCCATGAAGAAGAAATGAGATTGTGCCATTGATTGTGCTCTCCTGACATTTGAATCTGGATAAATGAGAGAGAGAAAAAGAAAAGCATGTGTACATATGTAGGTTTCTCCTCTTCAGATTCCATCTTAGTAACTGGATGAGGGCAGTGGAAGCAAGAAAAAAAGGCTGCTTGTAATACCAGGGGCAAAATGAAATCCCCTGATTTCATTCCTCCTTCATCTCGTGTAATATTTCCATTAAGTAATCAGCAAAGAGGAATGGGTTTACTGCTTATTTAGACTATGTGGAAGGACACAACATGGAACAAGCTGTTTCTACTAGCTGAAAGTTTTCACATAGACATCTTCACCATTATTAAAATATAAATCACTTGGAAGTACACAAATTTCCAAGAGCAAAAGCTCCAATCCTAAATTTCATGCTAAACTCAAATTTTTGAAAGAGCCTAAGACTGCTGAAGTCTACATGGCTTGACTCAAAATCAACTTATATTGGATAGATGTGCATGTAATATTAATACAGTACACATGAAAGAAAAAGCTATATAAGTACATAAGAGAAAAATATTTGTGTAAAAGTAATATGGTCATTAGTAATTGCTCTAATAAACAATTATTAGAAAAGGGATCTATTTTCTACATGAAGAAATTCCATCTTTCTAAAGGAAATGATTCTTTGGGAAGGAGATGGAAAATAGGGATGAGAGATCTTTTACTTTGTCTTCTTCTCTGAAGAAATTGCTGGGGAGGATCTATCCATATTTAATTAATATATGATCACAGGGCTTACTATACATATATTTGCCTCATCAAAATAATTGTACTGCACTATGTATCTGCTATTTATATGTGCTCTATCTTGTTTAAGAAAAGTGTAGAGAATTTTAGAAGCCAATATTAAACTGGAAGGGTGCGATGAAGAATCCTAATGATCTGAGCCATGATTATAATAAAGGCCTATAATTTACATGATGTAATCAAATAATAGATATACTGGGAATGAATAAACAAACTGGCACCTTGATATTAATTTTTTATTCTCAGATTCAGTACTAAAGTAATAGATAAAGTGGTTGGTGAAGATTCTTTGGTAGATGCCAGTAGCAAGAATATGTTCAGTTATTATTTACATACTATGAATCATACATAAATAGGAAAGTACTCTTGATTTTCTGTTATAACACATTCCCCAAATTTAGGAACTGTTAGATTGTTTCAAGAAATACAAGCTTTTATATTTAATATTTTATAAAATAAACAAATACATATTCTTATATGAGTATTGGTAAATGTACAGCAAATATATCATTTAGTGTTAGCACAAATGTAGCTTCTATCAATACCTGAAATGGTAAAAGAGGAAATAAAGAAGAAGACTAATATCATATTCCAGAGATGGGAAAGCTATGACCTTATAATATTACTAATTACAATTCCCCATATTCTAAAACCCTTACACTACCTATGATTGCTAGGCTGGATAGGAATTGTAGCTCAGCAACTTCTAGATGAATACAGATGCCATAGCTGGCTTAAAGCATTATAGCAGGAAAGCAAAATTTGGAATTATGAACACATTCTGAATTTAGATTTGTTCATTGCATTTACCTGCTAGTTCATGGGATGCAAGTAACAGAATGCTGGTTTGCATGATGATCTCTAGATTAGAGGCCCCAGCTTGTATAAGATGACATGTACATGCTAAGATTAAAGCTAGCATTTGGTAGGACTTGTCCTTACTATTAGAAGAGTGCTACACAAAGCATGGGTTTAACAAAGACTATTAACTTAAATTATATCAACTCTATCTTACTAAAACGTTATTTGGAAAAAAAATCTTGACTGATGAAAACCAAAATGAATAGTAGAGGTCAACATCTATTGGTCTGTATGGGGATGAACATAACGTATGGACGAGGGAGACTTGAATGCAAGAGGAATAAATGGTAAAAACCATGAATCAATGGAAGAAAGTAAAGAAAATTAAGGGGAATCAGGTAACAGATTTGAATGGTAATCTGATCTTGTGGAATGTTGATGAATTCATGGAGGGAAACAAATATAAGTTTAATTATGAATAGAAGGATCTGATTTATGTTTGGTTGTAAGACCTTCAAGAAATATTATACTGGAGCTGTGGACTACATCATCTGTGAAGCTGATCAAATATATTGAAATTAAGCAGTAACAGCTCTCTGCTATATTGTTTTGAATAAAACTATCCATTGACTTCTCAGAAGATTTCAAAGGAGTAATAAGTCTCACATAATTTGTAAGAGTTAGGAATTCCTTTTGTGTTTCTAATTTATCTCCTACCTTCTCTGTGAATAGGGGGACTGTAAATTTCATGGAATTTCCTGTTAACTTCCCAAATGTATACATTTTCTCCTGAAAAGAATATAGGTAGCTAGTAGGCTTTTAGTTGATCTCTGTTTCTAATTCTTACAAAAAAAGCTTCTTTTGATTAGTGTCATAAAGAGAGGCTTCAACTTTCTTTGCTCAGTTTAGATTCCTACTCTCTGGAAATACAAATAACTTTCTCCAATAAAATGTTCAAACCTAATGAAGTTTATTACTTCTTAAAGTATACAATATCTGCTAGAAAGAGATCAGCAAAAATGGTCTGGCTGGACCATAGTAACACATAGCAAATGTAACCTGTAATTGTTTCCTAGCAATGCATCTTTTATTTATTTATTTGTTTGTTTGTTTGTTTGGTTGGTTGGTTAGGTTTTTGTTTGTTTGTTTTTGTTTATTTATTTATTTACATTTATATGGCCACCCAACTCACTCTCAGTGACTCCTGGAAGCTTACAATATGGGTCCGATTCATAGAAAATTATCTTTGCATGAAAAGGTAAGATAACAGTCATTTTAATTCATAAGTCTTATCTATCAAAAAAATAGCACTTTGTAATTACTGCTTGGGAAATTATAGACACCAAAATCCAAAACCTAATTCAGAGCATGCAAAATCTATTTGGGCAGTTCATAGAATGCTGTTTCTCTAAATATCTATGCTGAAATACATTTATCAGATTGTTTTCATAAGTAATGAAATTAAATATATCAATATAAATGGTTTACAGATGGTGTGGACAATGAATCTCCAATTTTAATATAAAGTTCACACTCAACAGAGTGCAAGGTAAATAATGACACCACATTGCTGGCCTTGCTTCAAAAGAACAAGACACAAATAAGAATTTAAGATGAAAAAAGTGAACTGATTTTTGTTAATTAATATATAGAATAAAACAGCACACAAAATTCATCTTTTAACACACACACAGACATGGGTAAAAATACCTTGTAAATGGTTAAACTCAATTTTCTAAAAATGTGGTTTATTAGAATTCATGAAAGTAACGAGGACAGGCATTATATCACTTCAATAATGGTTCGGAGATGTTATGGAAAAATTGCCTATATAAATAATTTGGGTGGTGACTGTTGGATATCTTGCATTCTTAATTATGTTTTTTTCCCAGAAGCTGAAATATTTTATCAGCTGAATGATACTTCCTTTATTGTACATCCAAGATCGAAGAGGTATCCTCTCTATGTTACACACATAAATCTAAATAATAATACCAATGATAAGCCTTAAAACTAACTCACAGACTTCCATACTAATTATGGGATTTAAAAATTGCATAGGGGCCAATGAACAATACAACTCAGGAATTCAGAAAATAAACGTACAAATGGTTATTATAAAAACTCTATTGCTTGTCATAGCTCCATATGTAGTATCTTTGTAGAAGAAACCTCCATATCCTCAGAAATATCCCAAGCTATTATTAGTAATAGACAATACTTAAATGACTTTCTTTAAACAATATAGCAATTTTGTGACACAAAGACATTTTATATTATGACATTCCCTTTCCTACATGTAGCTAACCAGATAAGTATCTTTCTAAAGCTCTTTGTGATCTTTAATGGCTGTCTATATGTTTTGCTATGGGTGATCTGTCTCCTTTTCAACTAGTCAGAGAATTCATGAGTCGTTTAGCTGCTGATTAAATAATGCACTGCTACTTAAGAGTGGATTTCCTTTTTGTTAATGCAATGCCCTTCTATATGATGAGATACATTGTTTGGAAATATTTTTTTTTAAATAAAAAGTTTTTTATTTTTCATTTATTCATACAAAATACAATTAAAATAAATTCCTAACCATTGGTACCGCCTGCCCATTCGCCCCAGGCCGCGTCCACCCTCTCTAATCCTTCCCTACTTCCCTCCTCTTTCTCTCCTCCCCTCCTACTCTCTTCCCCTCCCCTTCTCCTCTAACCATCCTACTTCCTCTCTACTTCTTCCTCCCCTCTCATCCCTCTCACACACATGAACGCAGCATAGGGGAAATGCCATTTGGAAATATTTTTGAACTTTGCATTGTCACTAAGATGACACACAGGACCCCATCAATGCTGTC